CTCCTTTATATTATACATGACTACTTCTGGTGTAATTATAAATAATTCTAAACGCACCTGACGATGAAACGATTACGCCCCTTTCGAAACGCGTCGTATGACTGCTTTGAATTATTTTCTTATCTGTAAACTAAAACAATTCGCCACAATCATTTAAATGATTTGTTGCGTTATAGCGTTTTCCGGGAAACCCAAATTTCGTCTCATAGTGGCGCAAAATGTAAGCAAGTTAATGTATGGCTATCATAATTTACACAATCAAGAATTTCTCGATTTCCAGCATGGAAACTAGATTCAGGGGGACCTTTGATTATAGCTGACTTAATGAACATAATGGACATAATCGAGAGTTTTCCTATTTTCGGCCTGGAAATTGAGAAATTTTCGATTATGTCCATTATGTCAGCCATAATCAAAGATCCTCCCTAAACCCAGTTTCCAGGCTGGAAATTAGGGAAATCTTGATTATACACATTATGCCTTATACGTTCGTTACAAATGTACAGCGGAAATAGAAATCCTCACAACTTTACCCTTCGAGGCACCCTCACTCAGACAAAATCCTACATCACGCTTCAGCGCACCCTCACCCCCATGAAAACCTACATCGCCCTTCGAGATACCCTCAGTCAAGGGAACTTTCTTTACAAACAGTAAGGACTACGAAAATTGTACGTAATGTTGATAATGGAAATTATTTCTATGATGGAAATGGTGGATTTTCTTACAGTTTATTATAAGTACTCGGTTGCCAAAAATGTTTTTCCAGGGGGGAACAGCCCTAACGACTAGTGATAGACACAATGAATTTTATACCAAAAGAAAGCCCGTCAAAAACGGGATCTAGGGGTATATTTTACTGTTCTGTAAAGGAGGGGCAAGCTACAGAACTGTAGAGCTTCAGAAAATTTGAAGAATTTACTATTACTGAGACGTTTTTTCCAAGAGAAATTCTGAGTGAAAACTGTTAAAGAATCACAAATACATCGAACTAATGTTTATTTTTTTATAAACCTGGTACAATAATGAATGAAAATAATCAATAATCTGTATGCCGACCGTTAGCTTTTCTGATAGCCTGTAATCGAGATGGATACGAGCATAACAGATTTTCAAAAAGCTCGGTATTTGTTTCCATATTTTCTAAGACATCGCATATATGGTTTTTCAATGTTTCTTCACGATGACGATCATCTCTGGCCTCAGATAACATTCTTGTCTCGACTTCATCCTTCAGTATTGATCCGATGCGCTCAGCTGCATTGAGATCAGGTGAATTTCCTGGCCACATATTATTACCTCAAAAATTGATATTGTTGTCCAGGATCAACTGCTGAGTCATATTTGCTTTCATGCATGGGGCTTTATCGTGAACAAACGTCACTTCATCCAGATCAATGACACGTTTTCTTCATTTTTGAGAAAAGGAAAGACGTGCTGAATCAAAATTGTATGACGAAAGTATTCACCTGTCCAGGATTCTCCTCATTATCTTTGACTACCCAAAGCAATTTTTTTGCGGTAAAAATAATGAAAATACCGATGCATGCTTGATTTTGTACCACTTCACGATATCTTTCGTCCTCTTCAATATCTTCGATAGATTTAGCCCAGATTCTGTCATTCTGGTAATTTGGCTTCCGAATACTCCACACAAAAAAATTCATCAGCTGGTGCAAGGTGTAAGAAGTCTTCCTGCGTCTAGTTCTTTAGCCAGTCACATAGTCAAAGACGATCGGAAATCTGAGTTTCTGATTTCAATGGTTTCCGAATAACATGAAAAGGCTTCAATCCGATCCGGTGTCGGTAGTTATCGATCGTGCTTCGCGTAACATACTCTTTTTGTCTCGCTGCAATTTCCCTTGCCACTCGCATTGAGGATGATATTTTGACTGTCCTGTGATCATTTCAGCTTATGCGATCACATTCAGAATAATCAGCAAAGCATTCGTCGTATTCTTTCTCCCACCATTCATAGTAACAAACCGAGTCGAACGATGGATTCTATCTGCGATCCATTGTCTAGTGATGAATGCTGCACCAGCATCACACGCTTCACGAAAAGCGACGCACTTTATTCGGTCGGCAATTCTTTGTTGTTCATTGTCATAAGTCCCAGCTAAATTAAAAATCTATCATGATCATCATTGAAAGATACGAATAAAAGACGCGAAGTTTACTCACATTCCCAGCAAAATCACTTCGTTCATCAAAGAGAAATCACGGTTTCTTTATAGCTATGATGTCGTATGCGAGCAAAGAAAATGAAAAGAAGAGGATGAAAAGCAATTCGAGTTGATACGATCGTGACTAACGACTATTTCTTCCTTCTTTTTATGATTAGAATGCTGTGCGCACGTCCTTACGGAGGAGAACGAAAAACAATGATAAAGAAATGAAGAGAATCATTGTCTTGCACATTCAAGCAATGCGTTTGAAGTTATTAGATAAATTCCTTATCAGTTTTACGATAATGTACATTTTCTTAATGGCTGTATTACTTTTTATTGGAAAGTCGGTGGAATCATAACTGTCAAAATTCTGTAACTTATCTTAGCTCTGTATATGCCTTTCTCTATAGAACACTTAAATATATCCCTAGATCCCGTTTTTGACGGGCTTTCCTTTGGTATAAAATTCATTCTGTCTATCACTAGTCATTAGGGCTGTACCCCCCCTGGAAAAATATTTTTGGCAACCGAGTATTGCATAACCCAATAAAAAAAACGAACAAACCATATACTAATATTTGGATCAGCCGGTTTTGTCGTTACCAATGATCCTTGTGTGTACACTACTTTTTCCTTGCGAAATCATATTACTACAACACATTTTCTACTAGAACGAACCTTTACAGAAACAACAATAAAACGACTATACCCTGGTTTATCGAAACATATGATGAGAATTATATTTGTGAAATAGAAGATTGCAGCAACCATATTCTCTCATGCAGATTATGAGAGACAAAGAATTTGCTGTCATCGCAGACATCTGCTGGTGAAGACCGCAGGTCCGTATCTCATTTAGCTCTCTAGATATTTAAACAGACTTTTTGGACAGACACTATCAAAAAATATAAGTCTCATCTAAGTCCTTTTTCGGAAAACTGTGACAGAGAAATGGTCACCGTCAAGCAGAGTTATGTAAAGTTCAATGAATTTGATCAAAATTCATGAAATAACAATCTTTTCAATCCGAAACAAACACTAGATCATGCGTATACGCATGTGGAGAAATGAAAAGTATTCTTTCAACTTTTTTCGTAAAGAAAATTGTGGAATGCATATCAATTAATAGAGCTTCGTCGAGCTGAATCGAATGGACCAATATTTATTGATGGCACAATTACCGAGATGAATTATTCTAAAAAATGCTGCTAAAAATGCTTATTTTTGAGGTTTTCAATGTATTTGAAGCACTTTAGTTGGGCTGATAGTGTTGGTAATGATATAAAGTGATAGAACTTGTCGAGTTACATAAGTGAAATGAATTGAAAGTGTGGCACAGATAATAAACCGAATATTTTAATGAAATACAGGATTTGCTGATTTGTCTCCATGGGAGAAATCAATAGTTTACTTTTTATTGGTTTGATTGTGACTTGGGAATAAAATCCAAGTATGCCATTGGATAGAGCTCGTTGAGTCCTATCTGGCACACACAATCTCAGATTTGACACAGATAGAAATGCGAATATATTTAGGAAATTATCGAATCTGGCGCCCACTTCTCTTACGTCGCTTTCATTCAAATTTCCGTAAGAGATAATTTCTATATCTTACTTGTTTACTCATATATTTATAATCTGATAATTATAAGTTATTGAAGGTAAATATCGACTAGATCAGTATTCATATCTGTTTAAATAACAGCGATTATACTCAATCATTTATCTAAAGAAACTATGTATTTATAATTTATTTTCACTTTGAAATGATCCATTCTATTTCTATCGATTATTCTCTATCCAAATAAACAGATTATGAACAGCAATGATATTATTCGCCATAAAGTATAATTAAAATGGAATTAAAATCCAAATCATCTTCTTCTATCAACAAAAAAACCATATCTATTGAACATTTATTAATTAGATTGTTTTTTTTCATAGTTATACATCTTTATTAAAGAATTTCAATGGGAACAGGAGAAAAATCTTTATTGAAATGAATATACGTATATTATTTACGGAAAATATTGATTAATGCTTTTCGAAATACTTTTCCACCAGTTAGTGTATAAATATAAAATGGTAATCCAGAAGGAACATTAGAAAAAAGAAGCAATAAATTAAAAATAAAGTTTTCAATCGTACTTTGTAACGTTGATCTTGATAGATCTCTTGTAAATGTTGAATATAATTTCGATAAAGCAAATGGAAACATACATAGAAAAATAATGAGAATTTGAACAGAAAGCATAAGCAATAATTGTCGGTTAGTTTTTCTTTCATTTTTGACATATCTACGACCGATAGATATTGAATTTGGAATTCTATGACTATCTACTTCACTTCTAGCTGCTATTGGACGTATAAGTGTTTGTGTTTGACGTATATTTGAAATAATCATTAAACCAAAGATAAGCATCAATGTCAATGGAACAAGAACAGTAATCAATGCAAATGATAAATCTGATAGAATTCCACATAGTATTGATTGGTTGTAACATTTTAATGGAGTATCGGTACGATTGGCTTCGTAACAATAACTATGTTGAATTTGAAGAATACTTGAAATAATTATAATAAGAATAACATTACGTTGTGCATTTTTCAATGTACTTCGACGACGATAACTAGCATTTATACTAGAAGAACACCATCGATCAACAGTAGCTAATGTAATAAGCCAAAGAGAAATAGTTAATGTATTGAAATAAATAAAGATACGAAGTTTACAAAGTATTTGATTGGTACCTGTCATATCAGCATTCCAAGTTGATAATATTCGAGAAATAACACCAGAACATAAACTGATTAGATAAGAAATTGATGAAGTGAGAAATAAAAATGAACAAGGATTTGAACGAAGTGGATGTTGTAAAAGAACAAGCGTATTAAGAATATTTCCTATAAATCCAAATAGAAAAATCGTAGATGCAAAATAACGATTGAGTTGAAAAGAAATATTATTTAACAATGAAATGATATCGGCATCCATAGTTGATGATGATATATACGAACTAAACCAAAATAAACTTCTTTCTTATAAAATTTAATTTCATTAAAAGAATTTCTTATATTTTTTAGTTAATATTCAGTGCAATGTTTATAAATAGAACAATTGACTCAATGAAAAATACACATGATATTTACCATTAAATATCTATTCTATCTCACATTTTAATCTTGAAAATCTCATCTAGTATAAAAAAAAACGAACTGTTTTTATAAATTGCTTCAATACAAACAATTCTTATTGGATTCAACTGAAGTTGAAAAAGTGTCTTAGTACTTAGAATAGGAAAACATTTCTTTACTTTATATAGAAAAATCATGCAAATAATAAATATATTTCATAATGAAAAATTAATTAAAAAGAAGAAGAAAAAAATTCTTAATTAATTTCAAGTTATTTTCAATATTTCCGGTTTGTAATTCTTAATACAATGAAAAACTAATTTTTCTCTTCGATCTTAATCTAATATCTTAGATTTCAAACATCTATCTGTTTTTACACTAACAAAAAATATACTTCAATTATCAAAAGATCAAGTATGAGCTGATACTATTTTGTAAATTTTAATTATTTATATAAATTAAAAGTATAAGTGTTGACAAGAGGAAAAAAGCAATTTAAAGATCATGTAGATCAAAGATGATAAATGATTTTACACGAATGTAGGATTATTTTTACTTTACAGACATTTACGAATTGTATAGGTATTAATACTTGATTTCTATGTAATTGGTCTATCAAATCATTGCTGCAATTATCAATCACTTCACTTCAGAAAATATAAGAATTCATAGATTTATATGTTCTTGTTTCTCTACTGGAACATATAATATAAATATAGAATGAAATATTTAACTCAAAGTAGTTCCCTATTGCTTGAATAGTAAATCAACTAAATGTCTGTACTATGAGAACAAGAGTTAGATATCAGTTGATTATATCAGATGATTAGATAGAAAACGACAAAGATCATTTTTTGTCAATCATATTCATCAAATAATTCTTTCGGCAAAGGTGAGTAATCGCTACTTTGTACATAATAACAGTAATCTGAAATATAAAGATCAAATAAAATATGTATAATATGTTTTGGGTTTAAATCTTGAAATTCTTTTAAGAGAATTTGTTTTGTTTTGTTTGAACTGAAAGAAAAAGAATGTTCCGCTGTATTAGACGAAAGTTGTCAGGAGATAATCTGGACAAATGAATATCTTGATATTTTATTTGAATTTCTCAGACAAATAAAAGACGACTAAGTAAAATGAGGATCAAGATGAAAATGATTAGATGACAACGAGTCGAAAAAAAAGGAATCATTTTTCTTTTACTATATCTTTCTCTTACATTGATCAAATAAATCGAAGGAAAATCTTTCTCCTTTCATGCTGTTCTATTATAAATATCTGAATAGAACGAAGTTCTATGAGAACATTTTGTTCTCAATAGAGATTTTATTTAATAAAGAATATGATGTAGAACCAAAAACAAATATACCTCATTTTGGAAGTTTTAAATCTTCTATCAATTGGTTTCAACAATTATTATCCCACATGCTCAATGATAATCGGAGTACAATCATATGAAAAACAAGATAAGCGATACAAATAGGTATAAACACATTATATTCAATAAAGATATCATCATAAGTAACACATGGTACGGACAAGCTCAACATTTGTTTATCTATTTTCTAGCATTCATTGAATTAATCATGGAAAATCGTATAATTTAGTTTTGTTTTTGTCGTGGATACATTTCCTTTCAAAATGTCAATTTAATCTCATGGTGTATGAGAGAAAAATATATGAGCAAAGAAAAAAGTTAGAAAATTAATCAAGATAAACTGGAAGCACAGGAAAAGCCAGATATCCTAAAATGATTGTCCACATTTTGGTTGTGCCAATATTTTTCATAGACGAATGGTATAATATCAATTTCTTTTCAAAAAATGCCGGAAAAGAGCTCTATTAATATTCTCTAATCATTGTTTCCAAGTTAAAAATAACAAAAATCTACGGTGAACTTTTATAGTTTGTAATAAAATTTTTGTTTATACAGTTTTTGTAGAACTTTCGATAACGCATCTTTTGGTAATAAATTCGTATTATACAATTTGCCTCTGAAAAATGTCAACAGGATCAAAATGTATGCAATCATTTTTAGGATACCTCGTATGTGAGTTTCACAAAATCATTTATATAAATTAAACTAGCGGGCGTACCCGCTGCAAAATAAGAAATATCTATGTCGAATGCCTGACGTGTTGAAAAGCTGCAGCAAATAGAAAAATCAATAGACTCCAAGATTGTATGCTGGCGGTCCTAATTTTTCCCGCCGTGCATCGCACAAAACGACAACTTCAATTATAGCTCTTTATGCAAAAGAGTTACCGAAGCTGATTTCTGCCTCAGAACTTATTCAAATTTCCTCTCTCTCTCTCTCTCTCTCTCTCTAATATTCATTCTACACTCCAGCTATTCATTCATCGACCTCTTTCTCACTATCACGTCACTTCATACCTTATATCCTTCGAATTCGCCCACCCTCGACATTTATCTTCATTTTTTGAGATCCTGTAACGCTATTGGTGAGTTTCGCAGATTATCTGTAGCATTCACCGAACTATTATAGGCGTAGAGATCACGTGGATTGTTGTCTTTGAGCACTCAGACGGTCTTCGCTACCGACCCGCTGCAATTTTTCACATCTCGCAATCCAATTGGTTAGCGTCCAAGGTTGCTTGTAGCATGCACAGGCAGAACACGTGGATTGATGTCTATGTGCGCTCAGACGGCCTTCGGCCGCCTTCGCTACCGACCCGCTGCAATTTTTCACATCTCGCAATCCTATTGGTCAGCTTCGCAGGTTGCTTGTAGCATGTATAGGACTCCCATGCGCACGTAGAACACGTGGATTGTTGTCTATGAGCGCTCAGACGGCCTTCGGCCGCCTTCGCTATTAATTTCCTCAATTTGGGAAATCTCGCAATCCTATTGGTCCGTTTCATATATTGCCTGCAGCAAACGGCTGGCTCCTTTGTTCTCGGGGAAAAGTAGATGTCGACCTTCCTCTGGGTCTCAGGAAGCTTTGTGGAAAGTTTCACGCCGATAGCTACTACAGGGACTGAATGCATAGCGAACAAACAGACAGACAGACAGACAGACAGACAGACAGACAGACAAACTTTCTTCTTTATATATATAGATTGATCACTTTCTGTATTTCATTTAACAGTATATGGAAATAAATATATATCGCAAGAGAAAAAATATCTTCAAAATGGACGTTTTCTTCATCCAATGCTAGAGTTTGTTTAAGTAACAACGAAAAGATCAAGAATATGAAGCGAATAGTTGCAATGATCGATAAAAAAGAAAATTACAAAGTAATTATTGAAAACTTTATCTTTATATGCGTGTGTTTAATGTTGTTTTTTTTTCGTAGATGCGAGATTCTTTCTTATTTTTTCATTACCATTGTTATTGTTGCGCGAAGAGAAGCAACTGAATACTTCTCATTTTTATTAACTATTTTCGTGTTAGTACGATTGTTATCTATTAAATTAACGAATTTGATCTGATGGCATGGTAAAGAAAAGAAGCAGCAAAAAAATTGCTTCAATAGTGTGGTTGTATAGATAGTAACGGTAGTTTTTCTTCTTTCTTCGAAAGTATATCTTATAGGTCAACATATTTTCAACTATTGGACGTTAATGGGTGAGCAACTGAACTTTCGAGCGTTGTTGCTGAAACTTCAAGATGCTTTATCGAGGAGTGATCGAGAACGCTTTCATTTTATTCTTGGTGATATTATTCCTGCTGATGTACGTGATGATTTAAGTATGGGAAGTACATTGAAGCTTCTGGAAACATTGATCAAGCAAGGAAACATTGATCAACAAGATGTCGGTTTTCTAATCAAGGTATTTAGCAAAATTCATTGTCAGAGTATTGTAAACATGTTGAAACGTACGGCAAATGTCAGTTATAAATAAATAAAAATCAAATTTATATTCTTTCCTAGAACATGAACGTTTTCAACAGCTGGAAGATGAAGAAGATTCAATCGTCACAACTAAGTGTAGTTCAAATCAAATGATCGAGAGTGAGAATATCAACTCAACATGTTCGTAGCACGAACAAATGATCATCGAAGCAAACTAACTAGTTTTTCTCTTCTTTTAGATGTTTCAAAAGAGATCACTCCAAATCTTTACTATCATTCTGAGTCTACTCCTCTACTTTCGAATGGGTTACACCCAATAGTAACATCGCAAAGTTTGGTTGAGTCAACTTTAGTCGAACTGAATGAATCGAATCAAAATAAAGAATCTTGTTCTAATCGATGCTATCAAATATTAAAGAAAAAAACATCGAAATGGTCAGTTCTATTATTTATCTTCAACATAATTTTCCTCTCCTTTGCCATTGTTCTATTTCCTCTTCGCTGGCAATTACCTATTGCACATGTACGATGTCTAGATGGTAAATGATACTTTCTGTCCATTAGAGCAAGGATATTCAATCTATACACTTCTTTTGTGATTTTATTTCTAGATGTCTATGCTATCAAAGAAGGTGACATAAATGGAGGAAATGGTGGTGAATCATTTGATGATGCCAAAGGTTATGGACTTACCTATGGTGATCGATGCACGGCGGTTGAAGTTCACTGGTCATCAAACTTAATTAACTCAGTTCGATTTACATATAGGATGTCGTCGACACAAGACAAGACTGTACATTATGGATCACATGGTGAAGATGCAGGATTCCATGAAGAATTTCAACTTCTTCCAGACGAAGAGATTAATAAAGTCACGGTCAATGCCCGTAACATAACGATGGTGACAAATACCTCCTATTTTCTCATTACTGGTATTCGATTTCATACAACTCAAGGACGCATGAGTCAACATTATGGTGCAAGTAATGATCCAAGCTTGACAGAATCATATGATGGCTATACACTTTTCTATGTCAAAGGAAGATCAGGAAGATTTCTCGACGGTCTGAGATTTGTCTGGTCTAAAACATGTGCACGAGTTAGTTCCAAAGAATGCATGCCTTCCTCTTAATAGATTTCAATGTATTTTTCACCATTACAAATAAACACGAGCATAAAGTGTATGTACAATTCGATATGTTCTTTTTGGAAAATAGAAATGTCATGAAAATAACCGTACTTTTTTCCAAAATCATTCATGTAGCAGGTTGTAAGGGTGTGATTCGTTACAAGGGGGAAACGGCGGACTTTTAGACTTCATAATACTTGCTAGTACTTGAAATGTACTTTGAGCTATTTCATTGATACTTTATCGATACTTATAAAATACTTGAAGTCGCTTTAGTTTCTCGTATTATACAAATTTAAATCGATATATCGAGTTTTTAGCAATCGGGTTCGTCACATATTTTGTAAACTACAACATAACGATAAAATTTTCTTTGAACTGAGAAAAGATTATGTAAAGACAAGTTTAGTGTAGTTTTTGAACATATTTATCGAAACAATGGAATAAAATAAAACACGAATGGTTCTCTACGTCTCTACCAGAAAAATAAAAAACAGAGAATGTTATCTGCGGCTTTGTTTTGCCGAAGCGCAGTGTTGTGAATCAAATAATGAAGATAATGATAGAGAAGATGAGCTTTATGATCAGTTATTAGCTTTTGTAGACAATGATGACAATAAAGAAACAGAGATATTAAACTCAACAAGATCAAATTTCGATGGAAATAAACTTGTTGATTGTATTAATCCTGTTATGAAACACTCGTATGTTAGGGCCAAGCTGAAGGATAAAACGAAATACCTTCACAAACAATCAGCATGTTGGCTGTTACTCAACATAAAAACAGTTATCTAGTGATCGTCTATCTCGAGTAATGCAACAAACGAGCAGTATTAACTGATAAAATTCGTGATTTTATTTTTCATTATTGATATTTCTCCTATAACTTATAGATAAGAACATTGACTTTTTTTAATTTCTTTATTGGAATTCAATTTCATTTGATCAATCGATAACTTTTCACGACTATCATTCCACTTTGTGGCACTTGTATGTACTTCGAAAGACTTTGATGATACTTTCAGCGACTTTGGAGATATTTAAAGTACTTAGTTTTATTTTTGACGATACTTTGTAGGTACTTGATCGTACTTAAGAGCTACTTTATCATACTTCGAAGACACTTGAAGCTACTTTCGTCGTACTTTGAGCTACTTGAAGTTACTTTTGGATTTTGATCTACTTTCATACTTGAAGTCCGCCGTTTCCCCTTTGTCGCTAATACAACCAATGATAATCGATCAATTCTCTGGTACAACTTGAAAAAATTTTGTAGATATTCTCCAATAGTTCATATTGATTTGTGTCCAGCATTTCGTAAATGTGCTTATTTTTCAAAGATATTTTATTGATTGATTCAAATATAAATTAACATGTTCCATTTCGTCGTTAAATTAGATTTGAACTTTTTCAATTAATAATCGTGTGCTTTCAGATCGATAGAATTTAGTCGAACGCTGCAAATACGTTGATTGAGATTCTATGCGATCAATGTAATCTTTGTTGAGATTAATTTTTGTTAACAATTCAACAATGTCTTTTATAATTGCTCTTGAGAAGTTATTTCCAGCCATGCATTTATATAACATTCTTGTATACACAACGTATGGATTGTTCCAAGCTCTTCTATGGCGACTTAATGTGTCAATCTGTGAAGCTAAAAGGTTTAGAAATGAATCACATACTTTTGTCATGCTCCTCTAATGATGATTTGTGTGTAACGAAAAATTCTGATAAAGATGATTTAGTAAACCTTGGTTTAACCTGTACAAAACGAAAGGACAATATATGAAAATATCAGTTGTGACATACCTCTTTAACAAGGTATTCATGAATTAATTCACATATGTTTTCATATAATCTTTCTCTATATTCACGAAGTACTATTTTGTAAACATCGCTAAAACAGGAGCTGAAATTTTCTAGTAAAATTTCTACGCCATGTTTCACTTAGGTAGACCACGTCTGTTCAATGGGATGAATCATCCATGATTCCCTAAAAACAAAATAAATATCATATGTTTATTTACAAAAATAAAATGTAGGCAGAATCTCATATACTTAGAATTCATTGTAGCAAGACTGAGTTTCTCGGAATACGCTAGAACGTATCAAATCGAGTGAGATTACTTACAAAAAGTCGATCTATTATTCCCGTGCTTCTTACTTCACGAACGTTCGACGTTGAACTCATTGTTCGTACCAGCAGTGATAAATATGTTAGTTTAAATTCACTCATACTGTAATGCAGCTTTGAAATAAGCGGAGAGAAAATACATAATACTTGCAAATATCCCTCGAATACGAGTCATACTCACAGAAATCGTATGTGATTTTTTTCTTTACTTTTTTTATTTGTTTAGTCATATGATACGTAAGAAAACAAAATGCATTTATCGTAGAGAACGAAAATTTCGTTATTATTATGACGTGGAATAGTGGTAAATTTACTCTAAAATGGCATTGCTTTTATATCATCTATTGATTCTGTTACATTTTTATTACACTGGTATGCTTTTGGATTAGGAGCATCAGGTTTTTACATGTATTGTTCCAACATCTTCACCTACAAAACAACCCGCTTTTCTCATTATTGAAACAGTTATTTATCAAAAAGTTGATTTCATAGGAAGTGCATCATTCTGCCGTTATTTCACAGCTGCTGCTCTCTGCTGATAATATTTATAATTAAAATACGTTTCTTGTGCAGTTGTAATTTAAAGGATAAGTTTTTCCAGAAGTGATATTCTTTTCTTCATTGCCACCCTCAATGGCTAAGAAGTGCACAAAAGAAGCACATTTTCACTCTCTAACAACATATCACTGTGTGTGTGTGTGTATGTAATAATCACAATGTCAATAAATAAACTTTAGTCATATCTTTACTTGTTTTTTTTTCTTCTTCTTTGTAGATCAAAAAAGAATCTTTATCTATGTATATGATGACAAATATCTTGAGATGATATTTATATTTGTCATCATTGATCTTTTGTTTCTCTTTCAACTTTGAGAACATTTTTTAAATTCTATTCCTTTTCTTTCGTACAACAGAACCGTTAAATCGATTGATCGGTGGTATAAACATTACTAATTATTATGTATGAATCACATGAATATCAGATATATTTCATATTCTATCGATTTTATATAGGGATCCTCGATTTAGTGATGAAGGTCTTGCTTTCATCAATCTGATAATGCAATCACCTCCACCAGAGAACAGAACTGATGTTAAAGCAAGTCGTGAGCTATCCGAATCTTTGCATGCGAATGTTAATCGAAAACTTATTGGCAGTTTTACGGGAACTGAAAAAGAAGAGTTGGTCAAAGCCAATTCGACAGGTGAAAAGAACATTTAACATTGAGAGATATTTTTCAAATTCATCTGTGATTGAAATAGAGATTCCAATAACTACTTATACGCCCGTAAATGCTGACAAAACGAAACTTGTCATCTTTTTTCATGGTGGAGGTAATACAAATGATTTTTCATTTGCAATGTCGAATGAATTTCATCGTGAAAATAGGTTGGACTGTAAATAGTCGACGTACACATCAGACAATGCTGAATATGATTGCAGAGTAACACAAAGATTTGAAGTTTATCCGATCGATTGCATCTTGTTGAATTTTAGTGCAACAAAATCCGTGTGGATTAATGTCGAATATCGTCTGGGACCAGAATATAAGTTTCCTATTTGGTGGAACGATGTTCTTGAAGTCACGAAATATATTATAGAAAATAAACAATCTTATGGTTGTATTTATCATCGATCCTTCACGTTTATGAACTTTGATTTTCAATTCTTAGGTGTCGATGTATCAGCTAAAGTAGGCGTTGCTGGTGAAAGTTGTGGCGCTTCAATGAGTGCTGCACTATGTCACACAATAAAAGATCTTGATTTTCAGGTAGATTTTCTTCGTTTTCCTAAGAACACTATGAAAATAAACATTTTGCTTTTCAATCGCGTACAGATCTTAATCTATGGTATTTTTGATCTACATCGAACTACGCCATCGTTCAAAGAATTTGTTCAGCCAATGTATTTCCTCACACCTGAAACATTGGATTGGTAAGTGAAACAACAGTTACGTGATATGTATTATCCTTTGTATCATAGGTTGGAATCGTCTGCGTTTCGTGATAAGAATGATTTGAATGATTCTCGTGTTTCCGTAATGTTAAGTCATTCGTTTGATGGTTTACCACCTTGTTTGTTCATCGTTGCGGAATTAGATCCATTACGCGACGATAGTTACGGTACAAAATATTAATAGAAATCATCATCATTTGAGAAATTCGTCTTTTGATCTGATTTTTCAGCGTACCAAAAACTTCTTGATAAAGCCGGGGTGAAAACCAACTTGGTATTGGTCAAAGGTGTTCTTCATGGATTCTTCTCTGTACCAGGTAAGAGAAAACCGAGTGCTAATCGTTCTTTGCTGAATCTCATTCTGTATCAATGTAGGTATTTATTCCAAAGCATGTACTGAAGTGATCAACAGCATAGAGAAATTCCTGAACTCATTATGAGAATATGGATAATAGACTAAAAATAAACTTTATTTTTTTTGTAATAGATGGTTATCAATAAAAGAAGTTTTAGATTATCTTTCTTTGTGTCAATGATGATAAGTTAAAATGTAAAATGAACATGAGGATGAAGATAATGGGAATCTGTCTTCTGAACCATCTATAGAGAATCTTTAGCTTTGATTCTCTTAATGAGTTTTGTAAATGTTGACCATATCAGAAATTCAGATAAATTCGAACATTTTCTCGCGCTAACTCTCTTTGCCATGAAATTAACGTTAAAACAACATTCATACCTGAATCAGCACGGTCTGTAAAATAATAAAGATATCCATCCGTCACATGATCGATTGTAAATGTATTGGAATATGATCAGAGTGAGTATTTTCACAATTTAACTATCCGGTTTCTGTTTCCACGACACTCAAATCAGTTTCGAGGCTTCAACTGTTACAGATAAGAAATGCAACTAATCACATTCATTTTTGCTTAGTCATTTTCCTCGATGAAATCTATGGTTTTTAACCTTGACTCACCTAATCCTTCAGGTAAAACACATGCGATATTTACAAATAAAATGTCCTATATTTTTAAAATTGATCTTCTATTAATGTCAATGATTCATTTAACAGAAATTGGCATGACTGTGCAGTTTTTCGAGTACATCCAGAAAACTATATAAATGATTTCAATTAGGTCATTTTTCCAAACTATTTCATAATGAATTTCTATATAGTTTATATCGTGGCGTTTCACGCCATAGTTTCGGGTCATTTTCAACAGCGTGTAAGTGACTTTTCTCTTCATAATTGAACGAAAAGAACTATCTGTTATTGATTTAGATCGATATGTCGAGAAATTCCAAACCAGTAGTTAATAATCTAACTCGAGTGTTGATTATTGGTGCTGGTCTGTCTGGTCTCGAAGCTGCTCGAATCTTAGAACAGAAACGGATTCCATATGTCTTATTAGAAGCACGAAATCGTTCCGGTGGTCGTGTTTGGTCTTATCGTTCTCGGTCAGGTCATATGCTCGATATGGGTGCGACTTGGATTCATGGTATTCACGGGTCAATTCCAAGTGGCTTATTAACAAATCCTTTGTGGGATCTTGCACGAGAAGCTAAACTTCCAACGCGAGCAACACAACTTGATGATGTTCTGCAAATATTTCCTGCCAATGACAATGTATCCGATGTTCATCAATGGTTTAATGATTATATTGATTTTGTACGAGAACAAACACGAGGGAATTCAACAAATCGTTCGCTTGGTCATTACGCAAATGTATTTGTTAAGAAAATGAATTTGAATAGGAAAGAACAATATGCTTTTTATAGTTATTTGAATCATGTTGTTGAAAATACGGAAGGAGCAGAACTGAATGAAATTGGTGCCAAAAGTTTTCTCGATCTCACATCGGTTTATTACGGCGATGAACTGATTTTTCGCGATAATGGTTTTATGTCTTTGACAAATTATCTATTGAAGAAGATTTCAAATATTCGATTTAATCAAATCGTTTCAAAAGTCATCTTTCATGATCAATCAGTCGAAGTCAGAACAAACACTGGACAAATTTATCACGCTGAATATGTTCTTCTCACGGTTCCATTAGGAGTTTTAAAGAGAAAACTGATTGAATTCTCTCCACCATTACCAAAATGGAAAACTGATGCAATTGATCGAATAGGATTTAACATTTTTGAAAAAGTTTTTCTCGTCTGGAACTCTGCTTGGTGGAATTCAAGTCAATTCTATTTCACACGTATTTCATCAACTCCAACACGAATGAATTATTGGGTTAATGAAAACAAATGGAATGATAAACCTGCTCTCATCTGTTTTTTCTCGGGAAATACAACACCACAATACTTATCAGTGCAAAATCGAAGCATCTTAGTCAAAGAACTTTTAGAAACTTTACAAGGGATGTTTCCAGGTTCAACAATTCCTCAACCCACCGAAGTTCATGTCACAAATTGGTATAATGATCCATTTACTTATGGTTCATATTCATATATTTCAACACAACAAACTTATGATGATCCAATTTCTTTGTCGGAACCAGTTCACAATCGACTTCTGTTTGCAGGAGAAGCAACAAATATTGACACGTATGGTTATGCACATGGAGCATTGTCAAGTGCACGAAGAGAAGTTGCGCGTCTTTTATATATTTATAATCTATTTTCAATGAGAAATCAATAAAAGCAACAATAAGATACACTGATTTTCCTCTTTTTACTGATTGTTTCGTGTCTAAAATAGCTTTACATAGATGAAAATTCTCAATGTATGCCCTTGTTAGATTTCATGACGCCATTACATTTTTTTCCCTTAATTAATGTCTCTAGTTGATATTCTTCAAAAGTTAATTTTGCAATATCATACAACACGGAAAATGTTCTTTTTTTAAACAAAACAAAATCAGCTCGTTTTAGCGTGATAAAATGATTTCTCGCTTCAAGAATGTTATTTTCTTTATTCTGACGAGTAAATCTTTACACAACATTCTTTCTTGTCTATTTCAATATTACGTGATATTCATCATGATTGATAATAAAATACAGGTTTCGGAAATGATTTTTATCAAAAAGACACGTATCTTCATTCTTTTCTATTATTTAAGCCACATACTGCAATCGTTATACAGATTTCAAATGAAACATAAAATCATTCCGAGCAAAAGCAAAAGTGTTTTCGCATAAAATACATATCTGTTTTAGTTACTTCACTGGTATTACTTCTCATTGCACTAATCATTTTCTTTAAAAAACAGGAAAATTCATCCACTACAACTTTATTAACAACTGAAAGAATGATATCAACAACATCAAAACTAACAACAACAACAGGTAGAACCGAATTTGTCCATTTTTAAAAAAGAAACAGAATGAAAAATGCAAATTTCTTGTTAGATGCTTGTTCGATTTTTATTCGAAAAAGTCAATGGGATTATATGTTCAATGACATTGAAGATGCTATTATAAGTACAAATACTGCAGATGAATGTTGTTTATATTGTGTAACTATAAATAATTGTCAAGCTTTTACTTTCAATGTAGTTTATGTATTCCAAAAACAAGTAATGATGGACAAGGAGAGACTGGTTATCGACCAATTCTAAGTACAACGATGCAAAGTTAAATTATAATTATAACTATTTTATTGAAAATTCAAACATATCGAATCGAGATGAGTTTCTTTTAAAGATTAGTTTGTGATTCTTGATGGTGTACAGAGATTATAATTCACAATAAAAATGGCAATTAGTCGACAGATAATAACTAATCCACCATAACGACCAATGAGTGTTGTGATTCCTTCAATGATATGATTATCATCAACATACGAATAAATACATGATGTTGGTGCACATTCATTGAAATACAATTCATACGAAACATTACTTGTTAGTTGTTCAATCATTAATTCATTGAGAATTGATTCAAATGTCGTATTCAATGAAAAATGACATGAATTTATTGGAGAAATCTGAATTCCTCTGTAATAATCCAATTGATCGAGACAATCTTTGCTGTAAAAAACAGGCAAAAGTTGATTGAAGAATCGATTCTAATGGAAAACAACCAGTTAACATTCCTCCTCGAGATGACGAGACACATTTTGGTGACAATGCACAACTACATCCATCGAGAGTTTTAGACGGAACTTTCATCGCCCAATTACTTGAAAATAAATTTGTCAACACATTCGCTCCTGTTGTTTCTCGAATCAACGAAAGTGTATTGACAAATCGTTTCGGTATTGATATTTGAAAATCATCGATAATTCTTTGGATTTGTTCATTAAGTAAAGTGGATGATAAAAGTTGAACATTGATGAAATCATTTCCGGCTAATTGATCCAATGAATTATGAACTGTTTCTTTCGATAAACGACAAAACGATGCGAGAAGTTGGAATTGTGCAGCAGCTGAAGAGAGAAAATTTGCCGACCGAACACGACCAAGAAAAATATAAGTATAATAAAAATAAGCGATAGTTTCCTTCGAAAGCAAATCACTTGAACAAACTTCATGGAAAGAAGGTGTTAATTTGAGAAATGTTTTGTATTTTGTGGAGATTTTTGAATAAGGACATTCGAGGGAATGTGAAGATTGTCTTAGCAATTCGTCGTACATCGTTAATGAAGGTTTGAGAATCTCAACAGTTCGAATTGATGAATTAAAAGCAAAATTCACATAAAGAATAGTTAAAGTTGTGATAACCAACACGACATGTAAACAATGAATCGTTTGTTGTTCAGTACCACAAATAAATATCTGTTTTATCGATTGGAAATCTCTTTGAAGTATTCGATCAATCAAATAAAGTCCAATGAAAATGAGAAGTTTCAATGCGAGTGACAATCCACCGTAAATCAACGAAATACTCGCGAGAAGAAAGTAGAAATTATTGTGACCTTCATATTGAAATGTAGAAGATATTGGTGCACATTGATGATAATATGAAGAATAGGAGATATTTGATATCCATTGATCGACCATTAAACGATTTATAATCATTTCGATTGTTTCATTTGGATTATTGAGATTGATATCGAGAGGAGAATAAGTGAAAGATACAGAAGATTGTAAACAACGATGAATATTTAATAAACATGACATGCCATAGAAACATTGTAACATTGATGAAAATAATGATTCAATTGGATAACGACCAACAAAGAAATTTGGAAGGGAATAACATTGAATCTTCATAGTGTACAAACTCATGTTCATACGAGATGATGGTGTAAGAACACAAGGAGATTGAGAATATGAGACTGATTGTTTTGTTACTTCGGAGATACTGTTTACTGAAAAATAAGAATTAAAATGATTGGATAATTGATTTTCATTTGTAGTTGCACGAAATAATTGAATTGTTTGAAGAAATGTATTCATTGTTGTTAATTTCCAGTCTTCGATCGATGAATTCATTTGGATTTGAAATAATTGAGGAGAAATAACTTGTGAACTGATGAATTTCGTTTGAAGAAAGATTTCAATTGCTTCAGGAATTGTTTGCTTAGCTTGTTGACAAAACATCCCTAATGAACTGAATTGACCAGGAGCGTGTATTCGGAAATCTGTGGGCTCTAAAGAAACTACTTCGAATGCACTTGCTCGGATATATTCAATCCAGTTCATTAAGATCCATAAACTGGAACATATTTGATGATATTCAGCGCGGATTTGAGTAAATGTTAAGTGAGGCATTGAAAGTGAAGAACATGGACATGAAAGTGTATGAGAGTATTGCTGTTCTAGTTCAATGTATTGTGATTCAGTTGGATTGAGGAGAACTTTCGATTGAATCGGTGTTTCGATGATATGATAGAAAATCATGATAATCATTGAAATGAAAATTAAAATGAGATAAAGCCGAGTTGCATAACATTGATTTCGTATTTGTCGATCAGTACTCGAATTCCGTTGGAACATGTTGAATTTACTTAATAGTCTGTGACATAACACTTCCAATCGAAATAGATGACCACATACTGAAAAATATGCTGAATAAGAAAAATCTTTCGACTCACAAGATAGTTTTAGTCGTGGTGTTGTATTCGGTGATCGCCGAATTAATCGAATTAGAAATGAAAATATCAAACGAAGAATAAGTAACAAAGTCGCCAATAAACTAATCAATTTAATCAGAACATCCAGAAAAGCTCGTCGAGATATAACGAAAAAAGTACACAACGAGGGTGAACATTTCGAATAATATTTCTCATAAGAAATCTTGCTAATCTAATCTTCGATCATTGTTTGAACTGTCGTATTCGGTGTGTTTAATGTTGAATTGAGAACTCGAAATGTTTCGTTCGTACGGAAAAAAGTAATGAGTCGATTTAGACAAGTTTCATTGTAGAAACATTCAAGTGTCGAAACAAGAATCGAATCGACTGGAAAGCAACCAGCTGATATTCCGAGTGATGTCATAATCCCGTTACACCCGGTATTCACTCAAAACCAAACAACTCACTACGCTACCATATGCAGTGCATTCGGTGTATCCAGCTCAATACCCATGTCTGTGTGTCGTGGAGAGTGGAGGAATATGAGTGGATTTGGTGTATCCAGTTCGATACCCATGTCTGTGTGTCGTGGAAAGTGGAGGAATATGAGTGGATTTGGTGTATCCAGCTTGATACCCATGTCTGTGTGTCGTGGGGAGTGGAGGAATATGAGTGGATTTGGTGTATCCAGTTCGATACCCATGTCTGTGTGTCGTGGGGAGTGGAGGAATATGAGTGGATTTGGTGTATCCAGTTCGATACCCATGTCTGTGTGTCGTGGAAAGTGGAGGAATATGAGTGGATTTGGTGTATCCAGCTCGATACCCATGTCTGTGTGTCGTGGGGAGTGGAGGAATATGAGTGGATTTGGTGTATCCAGTTCGATACCCATGTCTGTGTGTCGTGGAAAGTGGAGGAATATGAGTGGATTTGGTGTATCCAGCTNTTATAAACCATTGAAAGAATTTCATATTGATTTGATTGAAACAGCTGATCAAAAATTGATTTTTCCTTCAAACGACGAAAATACTGCTCAAAAAGATCTTCATTTTTTAGAAAACATAACAGAAGAATTTCTTTTATCAATGTAATCACGTTTTCAATGGAATTATTTTGTTCGTCATTCAAACGTTCATCGATAAATAATACCAGATATTCTTGACTATTTGAATTCAAATTCATCAAATACTCAAAGTCACAATCAATATTTCGGATGATAATTCGATCAAAATTATAAAAGCTTTCTTCAAAAATCTATCGAGTTTATCTTTCAAATCAATAAAATTTTCGACAAAAGAATGGAGATTTTTGTTTTGCTGATCGTTCTTACGTATCTATTCGCTAATACAACCGATGATAATCGATAAATTCTCTGGTACAAGTTGAAAAATTTTATAGATATTCTCCAATTGTTCGTATTGATTTGTGTCCAGTATTTCGTAAATGTGCTTCTTTTTCAAAGATATTTTATTGATTGATTCAAATATAAATTAACATGTTCCATTTCGTCGTTGAATTATATTTGAACTTTTTCAATTAATAATCGTGTACTTTCAGATCGATAGAATTCAGTCGAACGCTGCAAATACATTGATTGAGATTAAATTTTGTTAACAATTCAACAATGTCTTTTATTATTGCTCTTGAGAAATCATTTCCATCCATACATTTATATAACATTCTTGTATATCAGCAGAGAGAGAGAATGATATTTTCCCGAAACAATTGTATACACAACGTATGGATTGTTCCAAACTCTTCTGGCGATTTAATGTGTCAATCTGTGAAGTTAAAAGGTTTAGAAATGAATGACATACTCTTGTCATGTTCCTCTAATGATGATTTGAATGTAATGAAAAATTCTGATGAAGATGATTTAGTAAGCCTTGGTTTAACTTGTACAAAACGAAAGGACAATATATGAAAAATCAGTTGTGACATACCTCTTTAATAAGGTATTCATGAATTAATTCACATATGTTTTCATACAATCTTTCTCTATATTCACCAAGTACTATGTTATAAACATCGTTAAAACAGGAGCTGGAATTTTCTAGTAAAATTTCTACGCCAGGTTTCACTGAGGTAGACCACATCTGTTCAATGGGATAAATCATCCATGATCCCCTAAAAACAAAATAAATATCATATGTTTATTTACAAAAATAAAATGTAGGCAGAATATCATATACTTAGAATTCATTGTAGCAAGACTGAGTTTCTCGGAATACACTAGAACGTATCAAATCGAGTGAGATTACTTACAAAAAGTCGATCTATTATTCCCGTACTTCTTGCTCCACGAACGTTCGACGTTGAACTCATTGTTTGTACCAGCAGTGATAAATATGTCAGTTTAAATTCACTCACACTGTGATGCAGCTTTGAAATAAACGGAGAGAAAATACATAATACTTGGAAATATCCCTCGGATACGAGTCATACTCACAGAAATCGTATGGGATTTTTTTCTTTACTTTTTTTATTTGTTTAGTCATATGATACGTAAGAAAAGAAAATGCATTTATCGTAGGGAATGAAAATTTTGTTATTATTGTGACGTGGAATAGTGTTAAATTTACTCTAAAATGGCATTGCTTTTATATCATCTATTGATTCTGTTACATTTTTATTACACTGGTATGCTTTTGGATTAGGAGCATCAGGTTTTTATATGTATTGTTCTAACTTCTTCACCTACAAAACAATTCGCTTTTCTCATTATTGAAACAGTTATTTATCAAAAAGTTGACTTCATAGGAAGTGCATCATTGTGCCGTTATTTCACAGCTNAACTTCATGGAAAGAAGGTGTTAATTTGAGAAATGTTTTGTATTTTGTGGAGATTTTTGAACAAGGACATTCGAGGGAATGTGAAGATTGTCTTAGCAATTTGTCGTACATCGTTAATGAAGGTTTGACAATCTCAACAGTTCGAATTGATGAATTAAAAGCAAAATTCATATAAAGAATAGTTAAAGTTGTAATAACCAACACGAAATGTAAACAATGAATCGTTTGTTGTTCAGTACCACAAGTAAATATCTGTTTTATCGATTGAAAATCTCTTTGAGATATTCGATCAATCAAATAAAGTCCAATGAAAATGAGAAGTTTCAATGCGAGTGACAATTCACCGTAAATCAACGAAATACTCGCGAGAAGAAAGTAGAAATTATCGTGACCTTCATATTGAAATGTACAAAATACTGGTGCACATTGATGATAATATGAAGAATAGGAGATATTTGATATCCATTAAACGATTTATAATCATTTCGATTGTTTCATTTGAATTATTGAAATTGATATCGAGAGGAGAATAAGTGAAAGATACAGAAGATTGTAAACAACGATGAATATTTAATATACATGACATATCATAGAAACATTGTAATATTGATGAAAATAATGATTCAATTGGATAACAACCAACAAAGAAATTTGGAAGGGAATAACATTAAATCTTCATACTATACAAACTCATGTTTATACGAGATGATGGTGTAAGAACACAAGGAGATTGAGAATATGAGAATGATTGCTTTGTTACTTCGGAGATACTATTTACTGAAAAATAAGAATTAAAATGATTGGATAATTGATTTCCATTTGTAGTTACACGAAATAATTGAATTGTTTGAAGAAATGTATTCATTGTTGTTAATTTCCAGTCTTCGATCGATGAATTCATTTGGATTTGAAATAATTGAGGAGAAATAACTTGTGAACTGATGAATTTCGTTTGAAGAAAGATTTCAATTGCTTCAGAAATTGTTTGTTTACCTTGTTGACAAAACATTCCTAATTAACTGAATTGACCAGGAGCGTGTATTCGGAAATCTGTAGGGTGTAAAAAAACTACTTCGAATGCACTTGCTCGGATATATTGAATCCAGTCCATTGAGATCCATAAACTGGAACATATTTGATGATATTCAGCGTGAATTTGAGTAAATATTAAGTAAGGCATTGAAAGTGTATGAGAGTATTGCTGTTCAAGTTCAATGTATTGTGATTCAGTTGGATTGAGGAGAACTTTCGATTGAATCGATGTTTCGATAATATGATAGAAAATCATGATAATCATTGAAATGAAAATTAAAATGAGATAAATCTGAGTTGCATAACATTGATTTCGTATTTGTCGATCAGTACTCGAATTTCGTTGGAACATATTGAATTTACTTAATAGTCTGTGACATGACGCTTCCAATCAAAGTAGATGACCACATACTGAAAAAATATGCTGAATAAGAAAAATCTTTAAAGAAAATTCTTTCGACTCACAAGATAGTTTTTGTCATGGTGTTGCATTCGGTGATCGTCGAATTAATCGAATTAGAAATGAAAATATCAAACGAAGAGCAAGTAGTAAAGTCGCCAATAAACTAATCAATTTAATCAGAACATCCAGAAAAGTTCGTCGAGATATTACAAAAAAAGTACACAACGAGGGTGAACATTTCGAATAATATTTCTCATAAGAAACTTTGCTAATCCAATCTTCAATCATCAAATTATCGATCATTGTTTGAACTGTTGTATTCGGTGTGTTTAATGTTGAATTGAGAACTCGAAATGTTTCGTTCGTACGAAAAAAAGTAATGAGTCGATTTAGACAAGTTTCATTGTAGAAACATTCGAGTGTCGAAACAAGAATTGAATCGACTGGAAAGCAACCAGCTGATATTCTGGGTATATATAAACATTGTTCGCCAATATCTTCGGCAGTTGCTTTATCGAATGCATCGTAAATACCAGAGGAAATTATTTGACAAGTAGTAACATCACACGCACATGGTAAACCATCGATTTGAAAATATGGAATTGATGTCAACCAAATTTCCACGTCATTTTCAGTGATATTATAGTAATAGTATGTATTCATTTGTAATGCAGAGAATATTTTATTTCCATTGGTCATTTGATTGACTATTCGTAGTTGAGAATTGAAAGTGTTTGGTGTTCGAGAGCGAAATTGATCAATTAATGCTTGAGTTTGCGATTGAAAAGCATTTTCTGATAAAACTTTGGGAGTTACCAGTGTATTTGAATAAAACGATGAAATACTTTGTTCAACGTTTGATTTCGACAAACGACAAAAAGTAGCTAAGGCTTGAAACTACGCACTACCAAAGGTACGAAAGTCGAGAGTGTAGAAATAAGTGGAATTTGCACCAGAATTGATTGTTCGTATCCAACGATCGGTGACAAAGTCACTTGAGCAAAATTGATGGAAAGTGACATCGAGTGTGACGAATTTTTCATATGGAATCGGAATTTGAGAACACGAACATTTAGCATCGAGAGAAAAATCTTGAAATTGTTCTTTCGTTGGATTTTAAATAACAATTTGTGTTGTTCGAGTCATTAATGAGAGAATAAGGCCAATACCAAAGAGTATTGTGATGATTGATAAAATATAAATTCGTGTACAGATGATATTCAATCGACATGGTTGATCATTTGGATGAGGGGAGGATGAGAGAAGATTTAAATTTAGAAGATCGCTTTTCAAAGAAGACATTTTCGATATCAGATATTTTTTCAAGAAGAAAAGTCTTTTCTTTGCATTCACGCTCGATAAAAATATGAAGTATTCTTTGTGAAATGACTTTCTATTCTCAGATAAAACCTGTTAAAGTCAGAAGTTTTTAAGGGTTTTACAGGAGAAGAGAAATAATTGAGAAAATGATATGATCTTCTCTTTCATATAGAAATTTATTTCAAGTGATGCTTTTCCGTCAATACGAAAAGTTAAATCAACGGTGAATTCAACCACAGAAACGTCCGAATGTTTCTTGGAACGTTTTTCTGTACATTCAGAAGAAATGACAAAGACAAAGAAAATGAGTATCGATACATCGGATAAAATTGCACAACTGATGCTGAACGGAACGATGAGATGACAAAAATCAAATCAAGGTATTGTAATTTTGAACAGCACGAAGATAACGAGTTATACGCCAAGTATATGTAATTGTCTTGTCCAATCTTTTGGACATTTTCCTTTTCTGTGATGTAAACGAAATATCATGATAATCGTAAGAAGAAATATTCCACAGTTAATGTTGCGTAATTTCTTACTGTGACATTTTATTAAATTGTGACAACTCATATGTATGTGGAATTGGTTTGTAGTTCATAATTGAATTCAAAATGACCTTTAATGCGATAGCATCATCATTTTCTGCAAGAAGATTCTCATAGGGATTCGACTCTGTTGATATCGATTGGAATAGTTTCGTAATAATAGTTTAATAAACGATAATTTCGAGAATATGTTTCATTTCGGATAACGTTTCTATTCGGTCCAGGGAAAAAACTTCCTCCACCAACTGGAAGTGATAAAATATGTTGGAAGAAAAATGAGAGAAGTCGTGATGAAAATATCATTGTACGATGTTTGACAATAAGAACGAAACCTTAGATCTAAAACTTCGTGTTAATCGTACTTTCAATTGAAGAAGTCTCATCTGGTAGCAGATGATCAGAATTTCTCGTATAAGAAGTGTTTCAATGAATTCTTTTCGTTCGATTAAGTCGATTTTCTCGTGTTGAGGAAGTAATATAAAAGATCTGATTTTTTCTTGTAGTTTATTGATAATCGATGAAAATGAGAGAGAAATAATCAATGTATGTCGATGTTCACTCCCAATTTTTTGCGAATTGTCACACCATTAACCAGAAATTGTCGAGCTTCTTTTGCGTTTTCATAAGTTTATCTTTGCCATTTGGAGACATATTACAATTAAATAAAAATAATCTCTTTAATGTTTGACTATGTTTAATTAACTGAATAAGACAATCAACAACTTCATCATCAATCGAACGATTTGTACAAAAATCCAACTCTTCCAAAGTTTTATTGTGATATTGTATTGCATTGATTAATATTTGAATACCTTGATTACCAATTTCATTTCCAGCGATACGAAGAACAGTTAATCTTTCATTAGTTTGAATCATTTCAGCAAGATATTTTACACCAACATTTGAAATTCTATTTTGAGTTAGATCTAATACTTTTAAATTATTCTCATTTGTGGAAAGTGCTTTGACTAAATGAAGAACACCCTCATCACCAACTCGATTATCCAATAACAAAAGTTCTTCTAAAATATTCTCAGTATTGTTCAATGTATTCGCTAAGATGAAGGCACCGATAGATGTCACTTTGCATCTTGTTAATTGAAGAACTCGGCATTGTTTTTTTATCACAGCTTCTTCGACAACATATTCAATATCTCGTTCGTTTAAATCTTGGGATAAATATACCGTTGAATACATTGGAGAACGAGCGATTTCTTGTCGTAAGTAAAGATTCTCTGAGCGATCAACAAAAAAGAATTGTCAATTGTTTATCAATCTGAAAAACATACCTGATTCGGAATTATTATCTGTAGATTCGTTCATAACTTCATGTGGAACTTTTTTTGATTTCTTTTTTGATGCCATGTCTATAGTGACGAACAAAAACTAATGTCAAACGTTAACTTTATCTCATCATATTTATATTCAATCCATTATTTACCTGAGATGTATTTGTTGGATTCAACAAATCAATTTCAACGATAAACTATATTGTACCGGTATCACCAATCTTTTTATATGAAGTTGTTTTTCTGATGCAATGAAACAACAAATTTGTATACACGTGCTCTTTTATCATTTATTGCGTAATTACAGTTGTATTGAAATATTTATTATAAAATTTGATTATTCATATAAAAGAATTTATCGCATTTCATTAATTATTTCAAATAGAAAAGACCATCTTTCTATTAATTCACACTATGTGAGATGGATCAGCATATTTGTTATTGCGGATGATTCTTCCATGACCAAGTTTTTAGATTAAAAACATATGCTTGTACCGAGGATATCGTAATGGTTTGTGTATATCACAATATGATGGGAACCATTCACATACAATCACTGAAAAATGCCATCTATCGAACCTTTGAAAAAGGTATTTTTTCATAAATAAGACCAAAGATTGTACTACAACAAACAACAATTCGTTTTGTAAGCTGAGTCATGATCGAATTCTGGAGATTCATTGGAACTGTTTCCTAATATGAAATTGATTCTCCAATATACAATAACAAAAAGCAGAAAATATTCTCTTTGGGACGATCTGTCGAGAAGTGAAAAATAATAAATAAGTACCAAATTCGCCTCTTATTTTGTCAATTGTTTCACTACAGTGGTCTGGATGACCATAGATTCTGTTCATATATGACGTTATTATCATGATAAAACGATATGTTCATTTATATAATTGTTATGAAATCAATTGTTCTTTTTTTTCAGATAACAATTTTCATAAATATCTTCTTATCTTACTATCAAAGACGAATCTTTATTGAACAATCATCAAGCAAATTTCGATGTCTGACGAGAATTATTCATCACATAACAACAAAGTAAGTCTTTCTAATGCTACAAAAACTAAGATACGATTCACATCTTTTCATTCGCATCAATAATATGTATAGAAGAAAAGAACAGAATTAATCATCGATGATTGACTCACTCTTTAACAGATAAATTAAGTTTATCACAATGTATTTGTTTCCCTAAAACAAAAACATCTTTTTTTTACGTATAATAAATAATGAATTTGTCCGAACATATAGTGCACGATGTTTATTGATTTATTGCATCACTTATTCTATTGATTATCTAAGTTTCTTTTCCAGGCCTGCCATCCGTACCCCATTTGGGGGTACTGTAATGACAAACTGGTTGAGTAGTTGACCGCTTCTCACGGTATAGATGTTTATTGACTACTCTACATGACCAGAATGTATCTCTTTCACAATAAGACACGCGCTTATATAGAGAAGAGGAAAGAGAGATATGACCCGAAGATAGTATGATATAGAGGTGAGAGGATAAAGAACAGAAAGAGATGAACGATATCATTANGTCCGAATGTTTCTTGGAACGTTTTTCTGTACATTCAGAAGAAATGACAAAGACAAAGAAAATGAGTATCGATACATTCGGATAAAATTGTACAACTGATGCCGAACGGAGCGATGAGATGAAAAAAAAATCAAATCACGGTATTATAATTTTGAACAGCACGAGGATAACGAGTTATACACCAAGTATATGTAATTGTCTTGTCCAATCTCCTGGACATTTTCTTTTTCTGTAATGTAAACGAAATCATGATAATCGTAAGAAGATATATTCCACAGTTAATGTTGCGTAATTTCTTACTTTGACATGTTATTAAATTATGACAACTAATATGTATGTGGTATTGGCTTGTAGCTCATAATTGAATTCAAAATGACCTTTAATACGATAAGCATCATCATTTTCTTCAAGAAGATTCTCATAGGGATTCGACTCTGTTGATATCGATTGGAATAGTTTCGTAATAATAGTTTAATAAACGAATGTAAGTGATAAAATATGTTGGAAGAAAAATGAGAAAAGTCGCGATGAAAATATCATTGTACGATGTTTGTCAATAAGAACGAAACCTTAGATCTAAAACTTCGTGTTAATCGTACTTTCATTTCTATTTTCAATTGAAGAAGTCTCATCTGGTAGTAGATTATCAGTATTTCTCTTATAAGAAGTGTTTCAATGAATTCTTTTCGTTCGATTAACTCGATTTTCTCGTGTTGAGGAAGCAATATAAAAGATTTGATTTTTTCTTGTAGTTTATTGATAATCGATGAAAATGAGAGAGAAATAATCAATGTGCGTCGATGTTCACTCCCAATTTTTGCGAATTGTCACACCATTAACCAGAAATTGTCAATTTTCTTTTGCATTTTCATAAGTTTGTCTTTGCCATTTTGAGAGAAATTACAATTAAATAAAAATAATCTCTTTAATGTTTGATTATGTTTCATTAACTGAATAAAACAATCAACAACTTCATCATCAATCAAATGATTTGTACAAAAATCCAACTCTTCCAAAGTTTTATTGTGATATTGTATTGCATTGATTAATATTTGAATACCTTGATTACCAATTTCATTTCCAGCGATACGAAGAACAGTTAATCTTTCATTAGTTTGAATCATTTCAGCAAGATATTTTACACCAACATTTGAAATTCTATTTTGAGTGAGATCTAATACTTTTAAATTGTTCTCATTTGTGGAAAGTGCCTTGGCTAAGTGAAGAACACCCTCATCACCAACTCGATTATCCAATAATAAAAGTTCGTCTAAAATATTCTCAGTATTGTTCAATGTATTAGCTAAGATGGAGGCACCGATAGATGTCACTTTGCACCTTGTTAATTGAAGAACTCGGCATTGTTTTTTTATCACAGCCTCTTCGACAACATATTCAATATCTCGTTCGTTTAAATCTTGGGATAAATATACCGTGGAATACATCGGAGAACGAGCGATTTCTCGTCTTAAGTAAAGATTCTCTGGATGATCAACAACAAAAAAATAGTCAATTGTTTATCAATCCGAAAAAACATACCTGATTCTGAATTATTATCTGTAGATTCGTTTGTATCTTCACGTGGAACTTTTTTTGATTTCTTTTTCGATGCCATGTCTATAGTGATGAATAGAAGATAATGTCAAACGTTAACTTTATCTCATCATATTTATATTCAATCCATTATTTACCTGAGATGTAATTGTTGGATTCAACAAATCAATTTCAACGATAAACTATATCGTAACGATATCACCAATCTTTTTATATGAAGTTGTTTTCTGATGCAATGAAACAACAAATCTGTATACGCGTGCACTTACCATTTGTTGTGTAATTACAGTTGTATCGAAATGTTTATTATAACATTCGTTTATTCATATAAAAGAATTTATCGCATTTCATTAATTATTCTGAATAGAAAAGAAAACGTTGACAAATGGAAAATAATGAGTAAGTATCAAATGCGCCTCATATTTTGTCAATTGTTTCACTACAGTGGTCTGGATAACCATAAATTCTGTTCACATATGACGTTATTATCCTGATAGAACGATGTGTTCGTTTATACAATTATGATGAAATGAATTGTTCTGTTTTTTCAGATAAAAATTTTCATAAATATCTTCTTACTATCAAAGACGAATCTTTGTTGAACAATCATCTAGCAAAGTTCGATGTCTGACGAGAATTGTTCGTCACCTAACAATGAAGTAAGTCTTTCTAATGCTACAAAAATTAAGATAGATTCACAGCTTCTCACTCATGTTAGTATATGTACAGAAAAAAAGAAAAGAATTAATCATCGATGATTGACTCACTCTTTAATTGATAGATTAAGTTTATCACAATGTATTAATGATTTCCTAAAACAGAAATATCTTTTTTTTACGTATAATAGATGATGAATTTGTTCGAACATAGTGCACGATGTTTATTTATCCAGATATGTTAGATTTCATTGATTTATTGCATCACGTATTCTATTGATTATCTAAGATTCTTTCGTACAATTTTGATAATTAAAGAAAAGATAATTTACATTGATCGAGAAGGAGAATGAAAAACATTGAGCCGTCTTGAAAAATCCTGACAAATTATCAACATATTTCTAAAAGCGAACTTTGTTCATTTCTTTTCAAATATCGTCATTTCGTTTACCTATCGTGAAAGTAGCGAAGTCAAAAATCAGAAAGAGACGGAAAATCTATCAAAAGAGAAATGAAGTTCAACTCTATAAAACAGCGAAGGAAAAGAAGAAATAAGAAGCTTCAGTCATAGTCAACAGAAAGAGAAATACAAGCATGAAATTCGACCATCGAGAGGATAAATAGTAAAAGAAATCCACGAGCGACGATAATGTATCGTAGTTCCATCTATGAAGTATTTATTCACCCTTTTGTTCAGCGTGTTAAAGAAAAATGATAATTTTATAAACTTACATAGTGTTAATGATAACCGTAACTGATAAGACGTTATTTGGTTAAAAGTGATATTACCTGTTGGTATCACCGTAGGTAGATTTAGATCTTGAATATTTGATTCGCTAAACTTAGAATATACAAGAAAACGTTCTTTTTTCCTTATCTTGTTCTACTCATGGTTATTCTTTCCCATCGTGTTCACATTTTCATCTTTTCTTTTACAGGAAAAATCATATGTGACATTCGCCAATGCACTTAAGAGCATAATCAGTGATTATGGTACACAGAAAATCAACAAAAAGCGTTTACGTAAAGATTACAATGATAAAATGAAAGAATTACGAAATCCTGACCACAAAACTCAACCAGTTCTTGCTATGGAAGGATATGGTGGTCGAGGACGCCCTGGTTTACATCCGGAAATGGAAGCTTGTGAAGTTCTCCGAGAACTTCTTAAAAGCGGAAAATATGATGTTAAAGACACTGATCAGGAAAAGCTAGAAGGCTATCAAAAACTTCGAGCACACTGCCAACATCTGATAGCTGAATTGGAAGTATTAAAGCGTGCTCATGGCGACCTTCAAGAAAAATATCGTCAATTAGAGCAGCAAAATGATGATTTAAAAGAAGAAAACTTGAAACTGAAGGACGCTAAAATATACGAAAACTTCGTGAAGAAGCTCAAAGATGATTTAAACAATCTTTTACCGAACAGTCAGCAAGTAAACGATGCATCAGAACACATTACACCAAAACCCGAACCGAAGGAGGAAAGCAATATGAATGCTTCACAATCGAACATTAAAATTTATCTGAAGAAAGAATAATGTATATTAACTCACTTACAGATAATAATTAAAGTAAGAGAATTCTATTGAACACCTACTGATATGGTTTATTAGATGAATTTCTAGGTTTTATTCTACTAAAAAGCATTTTAAAAATAATTTTTAACTTGATGTCTTTTACGAACGACTTATTACGAGGACAAATGTAAATGGTCTGTCGCTATTTCATCGTATACGCTTCACAAATCTTAATTTAAAAATTTGGTTCCAAAGACATTATGCTACATATCTTCACATTATATGAAAACAGAAGTCGAAGAAGCGTCATCTTGATAATCTGAAGTGTTATTCACACGAGCAGTGTGAATATTCGAGTATTTGCGCCATGTAAACGAACCGACCTAATTATAATCACATTTAGTCTTAAAGAAATAACAAAATTCATGTGAATTTTCAGACAATAGATCAATAGCCAAAAATATATTTACATTTCTTTCTATAAGCAAATTTCAATTCGTATAATCAACAGAAAAACGCCTATTATCAATCAATCGAACTTTAATCTTGTGAATCAAGTCGGCGATGAATTAATTTTTTGTTTTATTACGATTACTATCGTAGTTTTGATAGAAGGAAGGTGAAGGTAAATCTCAGAACTCTTGAACAGAAAATGATGTTAATCTGCAATTTTCATCTCTCAATAAAGAACTATTAGGGTAAGTGTGTATTAACGAGCTCTTTTTATTATCATAGGAAGAATTTTTACTTCTCGCAAAATGATGAAAAAATGCTGATATATTTGAAGTATAAGATTTTATAAGTCAGTCTAGGTAAAAATAATTTAATTTGGTGAGAAAAATTGTTTGTGTATGTGAGTATTTTCAATTATTGCTCACAAAATCCAGCAGCCGTGATATTCCACCTGAAAAACGATGAATGATAATATTCAAGTGTTTTAGAAAAGCTGATTTTCTTGTTTATAACAGTGATCAACGATATTATCATTTATTGCTGAAATATGCGAATTCTAATATAACGAAAACTTTAATCTACAGACGTATAATCTTACTCTTCAACAATCATCGCATTGATAAGAAAGAAATGAATAATCATCATGTTTCTGACGTCAATAATGGTGAAAGAACATGACGTCGTGATACAACTATCTCATGTTCCGTACTTAAAATAAACTATAAACATACACAAACGATAAAACTTTCGTATCTTTCTCAAAGATTATTTGAAATCGAACATCAAAGAATGATATTCGAAATTTTACCTGTTGAAATAATTCGAGAATTCTTTGAATATCTCAATGGTTTCGACATCTATCAATCATTTTATGGATTGAACAGACGTTTGACAGCTATTGTTCTCTCGACTATGGAATCACATATCGATCTGCGCGAAGTTATGTCAAACGAATACATTCAAGTGAGTTAATCATCGAAGTAATTCACGTATCATCAAAGATAATCACTTAAAGCGTAGATGTTACATTTGGTTAATCCATCACACGTTATTTCTCTCAAATTGGCAAATAGATGGGAGAGAAATCAAATTAATTCAGTCATTCGTATTTATTCAATAGACACCTTCACGCAGGTTCGATCTTTAACATTTGATCTACTAAGTATAACTAATCTCGAAGAAATCGTAGATATTTTACCATCGTTAACTTCTCTTGTATCTTTGACAATCACTTCCAACGAAAATCCACCATCGAAAATCTATTCAAAGTTGTTCTATCGTCTTCGTCACATTAAACGACTTCGTTTAATGTCTCTCAAGGGAAAATTGGCTTGTTGGGGTAATATTGATATTCGTCAATGGCATCTCGATACATCGTACAATTTTCGACATTTGCAAATCAATCCATTAAACTTTTCTCACTTTAGTCTTTTATTTCCTTATCTTCCACATCTTCGTTCGATTGAAACGAGTCTCTGTTTTGGCAATGCTCCAATTCCGTATTTGCCCAGATTGCGTTCGTGTATTCTCTATTTCGGTTTTTACGGCTTTCCCGAACTTAGTGATTTCTTTCGACAATGTCCTAATCTGAAAATACTCAAACTTGAAACAACAGGTATCGATGTCGTGGATGGTCAGCAATGGGAAAATATTCTCACACGCGCATTGTCTCGTCTTCAACATTTTAATCTTCTCGTGGAGTTTATGGGAGATTACGACGTTGAAAGTTGTCGAGCTTCTTTTCAAACACAATTTTGGATTCAACGTGCTACACAAGTGAATTTAGTTGAAAGTCATATGCACATTGCACCAGATGACATTCGTACAGTTTATCAAATGACAATCGATTTCAATTATCAAAATCAACATCAATCTTACAACTAAAATAGCTTCGATGTTTTTTTCTTTAATAAACTCTCTATTTTGTGCTGTTCGTTGGATCATCTTAGAAAAGAATATCGACTATGTGTGATTTCCTGCCGATAGCCTGATGGCAAACATCGCGAGTATTAATATTCTGTTGTACATACCGATTCTTCAGAACGACAGAGAATCAACTGTTAAGTACTCGTGAAAATTCGTACACATTAGACAGTAAGATATTCTGACGAGAGGAAAAGCATTTGCAATGCGACGATGCAAACAGAAAGATAACATCCTCACCTACGTTTTATATTTATTGAATCAAATCATAAGACAGTCCGACTTGTTTGAACTGCCTTCTCGTAATATTCCAGTGCTTTGGAATATTCACTCAGTCTGGTGAATGTTAAGCCTATCTTAAAATAAATCTTGGCTAGACTAGGATGAGTCGGTGGCAGAGTTAGTTTCTGAATAGCAAGTGTCTGGTTATAGTTTTCAAGAGCTTTTGAGTGTTCACCCATGTTTAAATACACATCTGCGATGTTATTGTAACAGGTAGCTATGTTAGGATGAGTCGATGGAAGAGTTCTCTGCAGAATTTCGAGTGCTTTGTTATAGTTCTCCAGAGCTCGTGAGTGTTCACGCATATAGGAATATATAGAACCTATGTTGTTGTAAGTTTTGGCTAAATCTGGATGAGTTGGTGGCAACATTTTCTGTTGAATTTCAAGTGTCTTGTTGTTGTTCTCAAGAGCTCTCGCATATTCGCCCATTTGATAATACACTAAACCTATGTTGCTGTACAAGCTAGCTAGGTTAGGATGGGTTGGCGGAAGGGTTCTTTGTAGAATATCCAGCGCTTTATGATAGTTTTCTAGAGCTCTTGAATGATGACCCATATCAGAATACACTAACGCAATATTGTTGTAAGCGGTGGCGAGCTTTGGATGAATTCCCGGCAAAGCTTTTTGTAGAATTTCAAGCACTTTGTCATAGTTTTCAAGAGACCTCGGACGATCGCCCATGGCAAAATAAACCAAAGCCATATTGTTGTAAGTCGTACTAATAGCCGGGTGATTCCATGAAAAAACCTGTAGTTGAATTTCAAGTGCTCGATTATAGTTTTCAAGAGCTCTTGGATATTCGCCCATAACATAGTATACCACACCTATGTTGTTATAAGCTGTAGCGAGATTGGGATGCACTCGTGGTAATGTTTCAAGTAGAACTTCGAACGCTTTCTTATAGTTTTCGAGAGCTCGTGGATGTTCACCCATGTTGGAGTACACGCTGGCAATGTTATTGTAACTCTTAGCTAAATTGGGATGAGTTCGTGGAAGAGATTTCCGGTAAATATCCAGTGCCTTGTCGTAATTTTCAAGAGCTCTTAAATGCTCACCGATACCAGAATAGACGCCAGCGATATTGTTGTAACACGTGGCTACAGCTGAATGAGTTGGTGGAAGAGCTTTTCGTTGGATTTCTAACGCTTTCTTGTAGTTCTTCAGAGCACGTGAATGATCGCCCATATCAGAATATGCTATTCCTATGTTAGTATAAGTACCGCCCAAAGCAGAATGAGTTGGCGACAGAGCTTTCTGACGAATTTTCAGTGCCTTGTGATAATTTTCCAGTGCTCTTGTATATTGGCCAATAGCGGAATATACGGTACCTATGCTGTTGTAAGTGGTGCCCAAATCTGGATGTGTGGACGGTAGAGTTTTCTGTCGAATTGCTAGTGCCTTCTTGTGATTTTCAAGAGCTCTCGTGTATTGGCCCATAGCCGAATACACTGCACCCATATTATTGTACGTATTTGCTAAATCAGGATGCGTCGGTGATAGAACTTTTTGTTGAATTTCGAGAACCTTCTTGTATTTTTCAAGAGCCCTTGCGTGTTCGCCCCTATTGAAATATACACTGGCGATGTTATTATAACCCTTGGCTAGTTTGAGATGAGTAAGTGGTAAAGATTTTCGATAAATAGTAAGAGCCTTCTCGTAACTTTCAAGAGCTTTTGAGTACTCACTCATGTCAGAATACACCGTACCTATGTTGTTGTAAGTACTGGCTAGATCGAGATGCGTTAGTGGCAGATGTTTCTGTCGAATTTTCAGCGCTTCACTATAATTCTCCAGTGCTCTTGTATGTTGACCAATGGCGGAATATATGAAACCTAGATTGTTGTAAGTGGTGCCCAAGTCTGGATGTGTTGGTGACAAAACTTCCTTCTGAATACTAAGTGTCTGATTGTAGTTTTCCAAGGCTAGAAGGTATTCACCCATGTTAGAGTGTACACTTGCAACGTTATTGTAACCCTTTCCTATATTAGGATGAAACGGTGGCAGAGCTTTGCGCCAGATTTCAAGTGCCTTCTGGTGATTTTCAAGAGCTCTTGTGTATTCGCCCATATCAGAATACACTGTACCTATGTTGTTGTAACAGGTGGCTAGGTTAGAATGAGTCAATGGAAGAGTTCTCTGCAGAATTTCGAGTGCTTTGTTATAGTTCTCCAGAGCTCGTGAGTGTTCACGCATGTGTGAATACATTGAACCTATATTGTTATAAGTTTTGGCCAAATCTGGATGAGTTGGTGGTAAAATTTTCTGCTGAATTTGAAGTGCATTGTCATAGTTCTGAAGGGCCGTCGAGTGATCGCCCATTCGAGAATACACTAAACCTATGTTGCTGTACAAGCTAGCTAGGTCAGGATGGGTTGACGGAAGGGCTCTTTGTAGGATATCCAGTGCTTTATGATAGTTTTCTAGAGCTCTTGAATGATGACCCATATCAAAATACACTAAACCTATGTTTTCGTAGCGCGCGGCTAAATCTGGGTGGAATTCGGCGAAAATTGTTGTTTGAATGGCGAGAGCTTTGTCGTAGTTTTCAAGAGCTTTTGTGTATTGTACATTTATGTAATACTGCTGTGCAGCATTGATAAATTTGGCAGCTAAAATGATGTAATGGCACATGTTTAACCGCTTTAAGCTCGACTATTGTCGAACAAATCTGTTGCATGAGGCACACTATTCGAAATTGCTCTGAAATCTAGTGAAGCTTGACATTTCTGAAGAATGTGTATTCATACTAGGAGTAGACTGTTGAGTAACTGTCTAAGCGACACACAGTATTTTGATACTGTCTCTAGAAATCTTGTTCGTAAGTAGAGTAGCATCCTGGATAGATGTTTCAGAAGGTATGAGAAAAACTCACCTTGTTTGAGTTGTGAAGAACGTTCGATATGCTTCCGTGTTTGAACAATAACTAATGGAAGACTGATTACACCAAGAAGAACAATAATGCTGATTAACATCCGGTGGTAAACGTTGAATGATTTTTTCAATATTCGATTACTCCAATAGGATTGATTAGCATCAAGTTGCTTTCTATTGTGCACGAATACTGATGAACTCGTTGACGTTTTACTTTCTGCAGACGTCCAGCGATCAGACTGATCAAACATCAATGCTACTAAAACAAATAATCGCTTCGGGTATAGAGGATTTTTTGCTACTGTTACAAACCAGTATGTCCAATCTTATCTTCTTCATTGTCATGTGAGCAAATCTCTTCAATCGAAACAGTTCCTTGATTTTCATTCGCGTGATAATCTGCAATGAATCAAAATCTGCGGTGGCGGCCTAAGTAAGTATAGGAGCGAACTCACCTTTCAACCGTTTGGCAGTATCATAACAGTGAATAGTCATGAATACTGTGATGAAATAATCATAGTCCTGATCGCTTATGGTGTTCCCCTCGAAAAACGCCTCAAGTGCACAGAATGCTTCGCCAATTAGAGAGTTTTCGCTCAAAATTTGTGAAGGATCATCACCGAGAAGAAAATTCAATCGTTGTCTATCTTCATCCGACACGAGATCTTCTATCTTACTTAGAATAGCTCGATACTCAAATGATGCAGTCATATAAGAGCAAGGAATCCTCTTGATGATATAAAAGTGAAAAAATGCAAGATTTCAGTAGACGCTAGTGAGATGAAAGAAAAAAAATATCGAATGACGACATTTGTTGATTGATTTTCTATTGATATTTTTGTCTAAACTTATAGAAGCGATAAATATCATGAGTTGATGGTAATTAATATGGAGGGAAATGAAGAGAAGAATGGGAAAAGGTCATAAAAATCAATAAAATTGATAGTGTGATGTTGATATTTCGAACCTGTAAATGTTGTTAATCAATAGGAAGAAACATTTGAAGAAAAGAATGGATTTCGTTTTCGTTTTCAAAGATTGACGTATGTGTTTAATGAATTAATACGTTATCAATATGAAATCGGTCACAAATCGAATTACATTTAACGTAAAAATGTCAAGAAGAATTTCGAAGGAAAGGTTAATATTCTTTTTCTTATGCGTAGAACAGTTCAAAAGCCCTTTTCTCATAATTACGACTTAATAGATCTCATTAAAACTTACTAATTATATTACCAAACAGACTATTGTCATATGTCAAATACTTTCTTTATAATGAAATAACATCTTTCTAGAATAATTTATCATCTCTTCGACTGAATACTTCATCAAGTACGTTTGTTTTTTTCTTATTAATCTAAATTTATACCTACGTTTATAATTATGTAACCATTGCTTTTATCTTTTCTCACATCTTCTGTGGTATAAATGGAATATGAAAAGTTATATTAAGGAATGAAAGCTGTCCTCAGCAAATCGCTGCTGAGCTACCCGTTGAGTTCTGAATGATTTCAAATAGACAATCATCGTCTGAGGAATTTTATTGACAACATTAATAACGTTTTATTACAATCTATATTCATTGCATTCATTCGTATTTTATAAGGCAACATAAGAAGTAAATGATAGTAAAGATTATACTTGTGTTTTCTTACGATTGATCAATACATTTCATTCCTCCATTTCTTTCGCGCTACATTCGTACTTGTTCTCTGCTCGTCTTTGTGATCTTAGATGTCATTGTTTGGTTGAATTGGAAGTGTCGTCACTCGTGTTGCCTTCAGATGACAAAGATTTTTCACCTTTGTCCAAACATCTGGTAATGATTCCAAACTTACAAATAGCAAAAACATGATCACATGATATGTTAGAAATGAGAGAACACCTGTCGCTGGATTATTCAAAAATAATCCCACTAAATTTAACATCGCAATGAGAAATTGACAGTCGGCAAAAAGTTTTAAGCGGGACAATAAAATATTTTCAATCATTATTACGACAAATATTCGTTTTTTTTTAATTCAAAACTTTTTTCAGGAGGAGCAATTGCCTCCCCCTCTGGCCCGCCACTGCATGAGCTAGCCTACTAAACTACTGCTTCAGAATTTCTTGTTCAGTCCACTTTTGATGAAATTCTCGAAATATACACTAAATCCATCTTACACCCAAACGCTTTGCCAAAGTTCAGAATATTATATTGGTAATTAGGTTTCATTCAATTTTCTTCGAAAAAAAACACAAGTTTGCTGTGAAAGTAGACCAGAAAAGCGTTGGTAGCGTTTCACTATCTAGCATGGAGGATAAAACTAAAATCTAAGCAATTTCCTACCAGAATGATCAGCATGAAGAACTTAACCAATGCCGCTGAAAAGGCTGGCAATTTCCTGCGGATACACTGATATACTAATCACGTAAACGGATGGACACACTGACCGACTTCAGAAGTGTACTCACTTTTTGAGTGCGCGAAAATATTCCTTTTCGTGTTCTATATTATTGAAAAGAAACATACCAATGAAGCCTTAAATATGCGTACATCTATTGTACAAAAGGAATAGTCAATAAAATCTTATTTTTATTTACAAAAAATCGAACAATGTGATGTCTAATCCACGTCGCACAAAAGCATCGAAAAGTCATATGCAAAAAATCCAATCGAATATGACAAAAGTTTCTCGTCATCCAAATAATCGAGTAATTATTTTTGTTGTCATTATAATTCTTAATATTGAATCAATTTAGCATCATCATCCAAATAAATTATCATCATTGCCAAAATCACGCATAATTCATATAAATATTCGATCAAAAAGCAATAATCTTCCAAAAGAAAATGCTCATCATCAAGAAAGATCAATTAACAAAAATCAAACTAAACGATCAAAAGATTCAGATGACTCTGATATTATCAATAAAATTCATTCAACACCCTATGAAGTAAATGGAGACATTCTTTAATTGAGCTATATTGACTCATTTTCATATAGTCCCATCTGACAAATACTCAAACGATAAGTAAATCTCCAGATATATTTACGGTATCTGATGAATATATTCGTGAGAACCATACAGATCGAAAAGGTGTTACAAATGATTATCATAGGATCCATAAGAAGAAAAAGTAAATCGAATTATTTCTCGATATTATTCAACTTCCTACTATTTTTTTGAAAACAGAAATACACGTTCTTGTATTATATCTTCTGTCGTTGCTTCTTTGATTCTTGCCATTGCAATTATGGCAATTCTACTTGGACTTTTCATCAAACCAAAATCAAACGAAAAGAGTAAATAATATCATTCTTTATTTACTATTGATTCATATTTGTTTTCTGATACAGGTGTCAATCCATGTATGTATCTTTATTACAAGAGTCTTATTTTTATTCTTGTTTATTTAAAGGTATAAGTAGAGTACTCTGGGATAATATAGGTATTACTTATGCAGGCAACGGTACACACGGTTCTTCCCTCAATCAATTAGAAACACCAAATGGTATATTCATAGATTCAACTAATTCTTTATACATTAATGATGCTGGAAATTTTCGTTCACTCAAATATTTACCAGATGCTACAACAGGAATATTAATAGCAGGTGGCACACAGGGAACAGCATTGAATCAATTTTCTTTAACTATACAATTTAATTATGTTGATTCCAATCAGAGTATTTATGTTGCTGATACAAGCAATCATCGAGTTATGCGTTGGGCAAATGGCGCATCTGCAGGAGTGCGAGTTGCCGGTGATGGTACATTTGGATATAATTTAAATCAAGTAAGAGATCCACGTGGTTTATGGGTCGATTCGAATTTCAATCTTTATGTTGCGGAATATCAAGCTCATCGTGTAACAAAATGGGCTCCAGGTGCAACAGTAGGAGTTGTGGTTGCTGGTGGAAATGGACAAGGTAAAAATGAATTAGAAATATCTCATAAATCTTTTACCTATTCATTAATAGGTTCAACACCAGATAAACTATCAAATCCAAGTGGTTTAGTTTATGATGAAGAGAACCAAGATTTTTATATAACTAATGCTGTTTCAAATACAGTTATCAAATGGCATAACAATGCATTAAATGGTACTTTTGTTGCTGGAATTTCTGGTACATCTGGATCATCAGCTATTCTTTTATCAAATCCAATTGATTTAAAATTAGATCAATGGAAAAATATTTATGTTCTTGATAACGGAAATTCACGTGTTCAATTATTTTGTAATGGTGATAAAACAGGTATAACAATTGTTGGGAATGGTAGTGTTAGTAGTAATCTCCAATCTCCACATAGTATAGCATTAGATTCACAATTAAATTTATATGTTTCAGAGAATACTGGTGCACGTATTACAAAATTTGTCAAATTATAAATATCTTTGAGTTTTTTTCTATTATTTCAATAAAAAGAGAAGAACTATATGGACCTAATATAGTAAAACGCGCGAACTCAACAAAACTTGAGAAGTGTGAAGGTAAAAGAATATATACAAAACACTCACCGTTACCCAACATCCCCAGTGGTAGGTTTTCGTTAGTTTACATTGGGTTTTATTTCATAAGAAAATAATAAATTATTACTTCCTTTTTTTCCAACAGTATAAAACAAGATAATGTTTATTGAGACGGACTCGCTTGACCCTCGACCGAAAGGTTGATATCGATATTAATTGTATTTTATAAATAATCCAAATGATAAAAAATATTGTTCAGCACTAAATGTATATATTTTGATGTAAACTAAATGGCTATATGGCAAGAAGTCAATCATATTGAAGATGCTCGGTTGAAAAATCACGTTCTTTGTTGAATAATCTGACCAAAATCAATTAGATTGGTAATAATCAGTTGAAGAGTTGTAATTCTTCATAACATATTCAAAAACTTTTTTGGATTGAAAGCATTCAATTAGGAGATATCATGTTTTGATTCTGCGTAAAACAAAATCGATTTACATACAGATAACATCTACTGGCAGCTGCTGCTAGTCGTTCATCGGCGCCACTCACAACTAGCCGCTCCTATTGACCATATCTGTCATAAGCTGACGAATAATCTGATCAAGTAAAATTTCTGAATAATTACAGCCCTCAATTTATTTATCTTCAGCCAAATCTGAAAGAAAAAGCTTGTCAGCGCAGCCCCTTTGGGGCTAAAGTGTGGAACTCACATACTTGCATTTGGAAAACCAGATTGTGGATTAGAATAAAATACTTAAGGAGTAAGCTCACTTTAAGATCATCACTCGCAGGCTGGTAGCATTTCTAGTAGTCACAAAAGGTATAAGCAGTTGATTCAATTGAAGAATCAAATATACAATTGACTGTCCTTAGTTTAATATAGAAATATTCGGTGAGAATTATTTAGAATTCCAGACGA